AGAAAACTGAGTCGTTAGAACAATTCCACGCGAATCTGGTTGAACTCGCATCACGCACAGACAGCGGCTATAGAGAAGAAGAGTGGAAAAGAGACATGTTGAATTCACATATGAACAACGAAAATTGACAGAAGAGATACTAACAAATCGAGATCTCCACATGCGTATGATTTCGTATTCTGTCGCGAAAAAAGTATTGAACATAGTACAACAATTAAAACGCATTTATTTGAACCGTAAATGTCCATACCATCCAAGTAGGAATCCGTGGGATGAATACAACCCCCAGAGGGCGGTGGAAATCCAAATTACCTAATCAAACAACGGGGTCTTGGATTCAGATGGCAACAATATTTCCCACGCGGATCGCAAATCATTAGGGGAATACAAAACACAAGTACAGGACACAGGACAAGAAGAACAATGTTATAAGATTGGAAGAAAAGTTTACGAAACCACTTACAGACGTGTTCATCAAAAGATGAAATCTGCTACAAATCTGCCAATAGAAGAAACTTTGCAAAAGCCTTCAAATTGACTAACGTAAGCTAATGCGCGAGGGAAAAGAAGAGCAGTTTGAAGACAAAAGAATTAAATAACGAAGTCGACATAAACGACCCAGTAGCGTTCGTGGAATTCACAACCACAAAATGATTGGAAGAAATCCAACGAGATAATTTCACCGTTGTGGCAATTGCTGAAGCATTTGAAAAAAACGTAAGCAAATATCAATCAAGAGGTACTGCTCAGTGCTTGCCTAACAACGACAGTTCAACAGTAAGTAAACTTATTACACCGGAATCTAGCATGCTACAACGCTGAAATTATCATCCCAAAAGGAAGGCTATTTATCGCATTAGAATCGGGGGAATGGACCGCTCAGTCATCCGAATGCATAAAAGTCGACGACGAAAAGGCACACATAATAGGAGGTAATCTCTCATCAAAAATTGAAATCCGATTAATAAAAGACAAACCAAAGAGAAACCAGAAGCTAAAATTTCACGAAATAATTGTTTCAAACATAGAAAAATAAAAAAGTTAACCAGAATTCAATCTAAAAAGCCCGGTATGAGACCCCAATCCTTGGAAGATCTTAACCAAAAGAGCAGAAGGGAAAACAAATTAAATTTGATCTAAAAGATAGAGTTGAAAAATCACTGAACGAACTGATAGAGCAAAACCACATCGTAAAACTGGACAAATGTTCAGATAAAAGTGGCTAGGCCCGATTGTAATAACCGTAAAAAAAGTAAACGGTAGAAATGGCACATGGACACCAAGAGGATAAATAAATACAAACATAAAACAAAAATCAGATGCTTTCAAGCGATCTACTACTAGACATTATTGCGAAAGTAGTAAGATCAGACGGAAAAGAACAGACACAATTCTAGACGCTTGACTCTGGCCTCCTTGGAGAAAACGCCACAGGGACATATCCATTCTAGATAGGATTTTATCGCTTAACAGACATGCTAGCAGAGTTTCAGACAACTTTTGACCTAAAACTTGAAAACTGCAATAAACCTACGTCCATTTAGACAAAATCTTCACAAAGAGACATTAAAAGAAGTTTTAACCACACTCAATGAAAAACTCGTTGCAAAATCGTTGGATAAATTAATTTAAGTTTGGATTTAAGCAGCTAGAAGAGCTAGGTTTCCAAAAAAAAGCAACAAAAAATTCAAGCACTAGATAAACTCATTGAATCAAAAATATTTCAAAAAAATTATGGAATCGATACAGCAACTCACAAGATACAACCCAAACCTAGCTCAAACTGCTGCATTACTACGTCCATTACCAAAAAACACTGATGAAGGCACGAAAATACGAACGATGGACATCGTCAAACACTACTTAAGTAACGATACCCGATGCAAGCCAATGTCAAAGACACCAAAAAAATTTTTACGAAAAACATAGAAACTAAAACAGCATTTTTAAAAGAGTGTTTTTTTTCAGGAAGTTCAAATGCGAATACGCCCAACTCATAAACCAGCGATGCAACTAAAACGAGCCAAACAAATCTTCTCTCAAATGTCTGATACAAGTAGAAACGCGAGCTGAAGCAAGGGGAGGCACATGGAAAGATCGGGAATTGATGCCGAAAGGGATTTTTTTTTAAAAAAAACGAGACTGGGAGGCACTAAAATGCTCATACGATCGGTACTGTACAAAATGCGCAGTACCCCCCCCCCCCATACGGGACGACTGCCCAATAATCGATGAAACCATCGTACTACCAACACAAATCCGACAAACAGAACTGGATAGCATCCACTATGCTCATCCCAGATCTGCCGCAATGATCGACCTCTGGCAACACACCTAGTTCCCACACATCCACCTCTCAGTGGTGCAAATGGTACAGAACCGCCGGCAATGTAGGAACAAGGTCAAACATTAAAACCATTTTTTGGGAAACAGCACTCATTCCAAATGGAACATGTCGTTGTATCAAAAGAAGAAATTTGATTAGAGTTTGCTGGAACCGTCCCAGTCGAAATATATAGGAGGTATATAAGTTAGCTGCTATCAATAAAAAGTATAATTTTCTACTGCTAAGGCAGTTTCTAGCAAAACGGCAGACGTCGCTTTAAGACTTTTGCTAAAGATACGTATCAAACAACGGCATTCCTAGCAAAATAAGATGCAATCAGGTGCAAAAATTTTGAGCAAAGAAATTCATTTTTTTTGTAATCAAACAAAACAAAATTACTTTTTGCATCATTGGTTAATCGGAGCAGTAGAATATATGATACAAAGACTAAAAAGCAGTTTAGGGTTAATGAGAATAGACAAAAATTACACGTCTTTCCAACTAGCATCCGATTTTGTCGAAAATATAAGAACACTTCAAATTTACTTCCCACAGAAAAACACAAATTCTACCATGCGAGGCAAACATGGGAAGAAAATTTAACTTAACCCTTTTGAACATAGCAAAAACTACTTCGTCAAAAAACCTAAGCTCGAGAACGCAAAACACGCATGTTTAGATCGAAAAACTTGATGCACCGCCGCTAACCGCAGAACTTTTGCCTGATCTCCAAAGATCGTGGGAAGACGATGTGGCAATCAAACGACAACCAGAAATAATCCCAGAAGCAGTTCTCGAGGACACCTCTCTGACAAAGGATGGACATGCCCAAGAAACAGGCAAAAAAACTATACCTGAGACGGGAAAAACTGAACCCGAGATTTGAGAGAATCCAAAGGCAAACCTACTAAAGCCACAAAAGGCGAAAAGAACAAATAGCAAGAAAAACAATAATATTAGCCAAAAAAGTCAAATCCTAAAAAAAATTGAATAAAAGTTTAAAGCAAGTGCTGGCGAAAAAACCACACACATCATGTGTGCAAACATTATTAAAACTATCTTTTTACCAGGAAATATTGGATTTACCTTCGTCCTAATCCCAATGATCTATGGGCGCTGCAGGCACTCACGGCTAAGTGATTACTTTGCAAGCAAAACCGCCCGCAAAACAGAACCTTGCTTACGTTTTTTAGACAACCAAACGCGCCACAGCACCCAGAAGCGAACCGGGAAAAAAGGGCGGAAAACAGACACAAAAAAGCTTTTCTAAACTGAAGAGCAACCGTTGAAGAGGAAAAAACCTACAAAGAAAGTAACATCAAAAATTTCAGCACCGTCAAGCGAAGTGGTCGAAACAACGCACCGTCGCCCAAAAGGCTCAGCCGAAAGAGGACACCACCGTCTTCAAGAGCGAGAGAGACAGCAAAAATTGGACAAGAACCAGTCAAGCAACTCTAACAGGAGCGTTAAAAAACCTAATTCCGATAAACACAATCGAGGACGCTCAAATGAAAGGAAACAAATCACGATAAATTCGATAGCTGACGATATACTGAAAGAAGCTTACAAAAATATCAAAAGTTTGATACAAGTGATGCATCTCAACGAAAAATTGCCAGAACGCCAAGCATGCGTGAAATTCCTCGAGGCCATCTAATTGAAATCAAAAGACAAAGCATAGACATAATCGATTAAAAATCATCATTTCACAGCTTTAATACGGACTCACAGTCAAACCAACGTGAGATACTATTCGTAAAATGCACACAAAATCAGAAGACAGCAAATAACAACGCGAAAGAAGATACGGACCACCAATCGGAGGAACATGTAAAAAATTCAGAAGACGATGAAGAGAAGAAGACACAGAAAGACCGAGGGAGATACAACAACTCAAACTTCAGAGAACAAATAAAAACATCGATACCACAGTCCTACGGGGGCTAAAAACTCAAATATTCCCAGAAGGACCTTAAAACTCCTTGATTCTTTAAGTTTTTCCCAGGGGAATGTCACCTGGTGCGGAATAGCAAACCATTTTTATGCATTATTGAAATACATATGTATGCTAAGTTTTGTTGGTTAAGTGACCTTGTGTCTATCAAGACAAAGCATTTGCGCTAGAAGCGCAGAACTGGAATCAACAGTTTATGAGTCAGTTGTCTGATTCACATTTCGACAAGTCACCTTGTTTGCCAATCCGTTCGGATTCTATATTTGAGTATAGATCATACCCTGCTGTATGACAAATGTGTTCAACTGAAACTGATGTGTGTTTGAGTTGTAACTTCGGGTCTGAAGGTTTTTTTTGTATTCGACTGGGTTTCGGCGTTGCGTTCCAATATATTTTGAGTATGTTTTTCTCGGAACGATTTTTTAAATACTGATTTTATGCTATCATTTGCCGTTTGCTTGATAGGTTGCCGAAACGCATGTCAAACACCAGCACACGGCAGATCCAGACGGATCTCGAGTTTTATCGCAACTGCTTACAACTATATCAATAAGTGTGCCAACGTTCTTCTCATAGCGTCTTCAAACATTCGCTTTGTTTTTGGTTAGCGACAAAGCTGCGTTTTGAGATGTAACATATTACGAATTGGCATTTTTGATCTAAAATTGAGCTGCAAAAATTGAAATTTAGTTTGAACTTGGTCGTCTTTGCGTGTTTTAGAGCTGGATACGCTGGATGTTTTTGTCAACGGAGAAATGCAACATGTTGAGGTAAAGTTCTGTACTATGAAGCTTATCTTAGCACAAATTCGGCGACAAATCTGATTTTGGCCTGTTGCGGAATCCGCCTACAATTCACAAAATGCACAGTATTGCCTCGTAATGTTTTTAGAGGACAACTACGCGAATGTAAATATAACAAGAAGGGATGTGTCATAGTTGCGAAGAGATCATTTAGGCCTAAATTGAAAAATATGATCTCTACATCAAATCGGAAAAAGATTTTAAAAATACAGAATATCTTTAATTTTTTTACCGCTTTACCATGATAAGCATGCGTTTCAGCCCCAATTTTCGGAAGAGTTCGACGGATCAGAGCGCCACTTCATGCTCACATCCAACATGAGCGCCCACATCAAGTCCTTCTCCTCCGGCAACAAGAGGGAAGGTATCGTGCACGAACTGTATGTGGGGGAGTCAGGACCCTTCGAGCCGGATCTGAGCGAGAAAACAGTTTGCATTGTATGAATAAAGATAATTCCCGTGAAAGAGAAGCTGCTTGCACAGTGGCGTATGGAGAAAACACCAACTCTACCAAAATCTGAAAAAGTATTGCCAAAGCTAGAGCAAAAACGTTTAATGTCAATGCCACTAGAGATTATTGAAACTACTATCTACTTCTCTGTATTTCTACAAAGCAAAAATTTATAAAGCAACTATCCCTCAAATAAAACAAGACTGCTCGTATCAGGGCGAATTCCTGAATGTTCCGACTGCCTTTTAAGGTTTTATGGAGCAGTAATAACATAAAAAATGATGTGTAATGAAATATATGACTTTTTTTTCTAAAACTTGAAAACACAAAACGATAGATTTAGCTCCTTGAACAAATCAATAATGGCAAATAAGCTTCTTTAAACCAAATTGGAACAATTTTAAGACGGATTAACTCTCCGCTTACGCGTTAATAGCGCGAAATATATCGCGCGTCAATTGTCCCAAATTGGCCAAAATGGCAATGTTTAAACCCCTATAACTTTACGAAAAAAGATCACAGGTAAATTATCTTTTCAAGTTTGAGCTCAAGACAACAATATATTTTGAATGATATAAAAAAATTTGGTCAAGAGTGGCATTTTAAAAATCTGAAGAAACTTGTCTGAAGACAAAAAACCCACCGGAGCACAAATATTCCGTTACTTTCGTATCGAAAGTCGGAACAAAAATTTATATTTTCGTCTTTTGACTTTTCTATCCAGTAACTCAAATTGAAGCTCAGCACGAGGTCGCGTTATGTTCTTATATGTTTTTGTTCCGACTTTCGATACGAAAGTAACGGAATATTTGTGCTCGGGGTGGGTTTTTTTTTCTTCAGACAAATTTCGGCTTTTTTAACTAGCCATTTTTGACGGATTTTTTTAAATATCATTCAAAAGGTATTGTTGTCCTGAGCTTAAATTTGAAACAATATTTCACCTGTGATCATTTTTCGTAAAGTTATGAGGGTTTAAAGATTACCATTTTGACCAATTTGGACAATTAACCCGCGATATAAATCGCGCTATTAACGCGTAAGCGGAGATTTAATCCTTCTTAGAAATCGTTCCAAATTGGTTGAAAGAAGCTTATTTGCCATAATTGATTTGTTAGAAGGAGCGAAAAATATTGTTTTGTTTTTTATATGACGTATGGGTAGATGATTTTCATAGAAAAATTTTCAAATTTAAGAATTTTTTTTTTCATTTTGTTTTATTTCATTTAATTTTTTTATGTTGTTTATGTTATTACTGCTCCATAAACGTTAAAAGGCACTCGGGATTTTCAGGGCTTCGCCCTGATACGAGCAGTCTTGTTCCAATTTTAGCTTTGGGCTTAAGCTCCTAAGTCTGCTGTTTCGCCTTGCCGTCTTCACCAAAATTCGACATTTTTCGGTTGTCTCGAAAAAAATCTGCTCGCTGCGAACGCCTCGAGGGAATTCGGGTTTTCTTAAAGTTTCTTCGCCAGAAACAATGAGTTAGACTTCCTTCGACCCAACCCAGACATCATTCCTTCAACATTTAAAGCCGCTCGACAAATTCCGGTAATAGTAGGCTAGAGGTAATAGTAGGCTAGAAAGTTCGTGAATTTCTTTGGGTTGGAGATCTTCCGCAGTAGTATTTTGGAGAGGTGATTGTGGTCTAGAGGTAGTATTGTTTTTTGGGAGTGGTTTTCCTGAGCTGTTCTTACTGTAATGTTTTTGTTTGGTAAATTCAGCTCTTTTTTCATGTATTGATAAAAGGATTTATTTGGTTCTCTATGTTTCTGCAGTTTGTTCTGATTTTCTTGTTGTTTCTGTCTATGTTCAGCAATGCTATGTTCATATCTACGGCAATAGTTACAACATTTTTTGAATCATGGTTTGCTCTTGAAATTTATGTTTTCTCGTACATATTTAATATTTGAATGATTTTTTCAGCTAGTTCAGTGTCGGAATCATGAATGTTATTTATTTGTGAAGTAGTTGTATGGGTGCTGTTTACGTAATGTAATTTTAATTTTTCTGTTTGTTAAAGTTTCATAGTGATTTCAGCTTGCTCTAGTTTATCTACTTGTTTTCGGAAATCTATATCAGGTTCTCGAATTGAAGATGGATGCGAAGCCCTCTTTTTTATCGCTATTTTTCGTAATTGTGGTGTTATAGTCATCATCAAGGTTTCTGTCAATTTGTGTTTTATAATCATGTGTAGTAAGGGAGAATGCTTTTCTTACTAAGGTTTTGATTCTTACTGCAAGTTGTTTAATTGTTTCATTAGGGAGTCTACGAATTTCGTTGCAAAGAACTCTTTGTTGTTTTTTATTTTTTCTCAGAATAGAACATTTTTGAAAGATCTTGTGTGATCTTTTCAAGTCTGATTTATCATCTATAGGTAACTGAAAACCATTTTTGGGCTGCATCATCAAGTGTGGTTTGGATAAAAGCGTTTTTACTGGTTCAGGTCCTATATTTAAAACTAAATTAGCTGTGACTGCGTTTGAATAATCTTCTACTAAGTACTCAGGATCTGTTCTTTCTAATGCCAATAGCGGTTTATTAGAAGTTTTAGATGATCCACCCATAAGTATGGATTCATTGTCATTTGTAGTGATTCTGCGGCATTTGGTATTTTAGAAAAATTTGTAAGTTGTGTTTTTGTAATTTCATGTATTTGTAAATAAAATGGTAAAGGAATTTAATTTTGCATTTCAATTGATTAATAATTTTGTGTATTTGTAGGACTTTCTGATTGAAATTTATTCTTATATGATGCTGGGTTTTGTCTTATTTGTCGTGTTTGTTCATTTCGTGTATATGGTTCAAAAAGATCTGGTTGATAATTAGGATCTGGTTGATCAAAATTCCAAGTATTTTTTTTTGTTGGTTTGTGTGTTGAATCGTTCTTGATTTTGGCTATTTTAATCTTCATCTTCTGAATAATGTCGGTGATTCGTTTTACGTTGTTTACTAGTCATGTTTTTATTTTGTTGGAAGAACGGATAATTTTCAGTACGGTCCACTGAAGGTCGTATTTGAGCGTCAAAAAATACTGTGTGAGAGGCTTGTCGTGATAATTTCTAACTTGAGGCATACATTGTCGTAGTTGACAGGTTGGAGAGAGAATATATCAATTCTTGAGATTGATTTTTTACTTTCTCGTGACTGGGTTTTAATCTATGAGTTTCTTACTTAATCTTACCTGGGCGTTGCGATTTGTGATCAAGGAATGGAGAATAGTAAATCAATTCTTAAGGTTCGGGAATAATTAGAACACAGGTATATCGTTACCTAGTAATTTATGACTTGCTAATTATTTAAGGGTTTTAGCCTGTGTCATCTGAGAGTAAGGGCTCAAGCGAAGGATGAGTAACCGAAGTTCTTCGCTGTCTATCCTAGATAAAATGATTAGTTTTTGAAAATTTTCTATTAGTACTGGGTCTTTTATAAGGGTTGGGTAGTGAATTGAGGTTTGAGGTCGTTAGGCACTTTTAAAATTATGGGATCGTGAGAACAAAACTGTTCTGATTTGATCCAAGGAAAGCCTTGACGATCAGTAATTGAATAAGATAACTTTAATTTTAATTGAAGTTAAAGATCCAAGGAAAACTTGTTGATTTGTTTATGAAAAAAAGTGAATTATGGGAAGCAAGGATAAGCCTTGATATTTTTTTTCGTGTAGGAGTTTAAGAAAACTTGAAGGTTAAAGTTTAGAATATATATATAAGTTTTTCGAATTTATGCTGTTATGTGTTTTTTTTGTGATGCAGCTGAGATAAGAAAATTCAGGTGTGTTTATTTATGAACTAACAATCAATCTAAAGACTAATTAATATTTTTTGTTTTTATTCAATAAATTTTTTATTCAAAAGTTTTGGTTTACTGCAGATTTTAGTGGAAAAGACTTGTGTTTTTTTTTATCTGTCGTTATTGTACAGATAGTTGGTTTAGCACCAAAAAAGTTGTTGAAAAAACATTCGTCAAATCATTTTCATGTCGGTGAATGAAAATTTAAGTTTACTGCATAAAGTTTTCTAAACACAAAATAGTTTTCTGGTTTTCATCGTTTTATCATGTAGTAGATTGGTCCGTTTGCTGATCGTTGTTCATGCCTTGATCTTGGTCTTCTTGCAATACCTGGTATTTCCTGTATTGTTCGCAAGATTGGCGTAGATTTAATGAGACGTAGAGACATTTCTATTAAAATTTCTCTTCCGGCTAACATTTTTGCAATCTTCAAGTGTCCAATTCTAAGTTCTATTGTCTAATTCTAAGTTAGTTAAGGTCTTGTTTGAGACTATGGTCGCACCAGATGAGTTATGATCTTTGGCCTCTACTCATAGAGTAATTTAAGATAGAGTACACCGTCTCTTCGTCACGCTTTCTTTTTTTTTCGGCCGGATAGATTCGTGCAACTTCTTAGTCTGATACCAATCTTAATCTTACTCTTATATCTCCTAGTCTCAATAGATCTAGTGTATACTGGTTTTTGTGAGTTAGTTCTTGGAGTTTATCCAGAAGAGAAAAACTGAATTCAATGATTTATTCAAACTGTTCTGGTGCTGAAACGACAAGTAGTTCAACCCTACAAATAAGTGTCAATGCTAGAGATGGAAAATGATTGGTTAGTTAGAAACATTTTATAGTGGTAATTTATCAATAAAATAATTGGTGTATAAAAACTAGTTTAGAACTGGTTCCAGTTGACTAAGACTTTGTCTAGATGATTGATAAATTGGAAAAATTAAGCATAAAGATTTTTATTGTTCCGACTTTCGTAACAAAACTAACGGAATTTTTTTGCTCGTGGTGGGTTTTTTTTCTTCAGACAAAATTCACTTTTAATCTAGCCGTCTTTGACGGAAGTTATTTTTTATCATTCAAAAAATCACAAGTTAATCTAAGATAATGAATAATCGATATATTGGTCCGTGGATCAGGACTTCTACAAATCGTAAGTTTTCTTTTTTAAACAACAAAGTAAATGAAGAAAAATTCAATTGGAAGTGCAAAGATACAGTTATACCAATGTCACCACATCATAAATATTGTTACTGCATCAATTTAGACACACAAAAGAACTAACATACTGCGTTCTGACATATAATTACTGATAAAATTCAAAGCATGAAAATCATGAAAATTTTTCAAATTCTTCTGATAGAGTTTTAAAAGAAGAAATGTTGAATCAGTTGCGTAAAAAATTACACAGAATATCATTTTTTCGAAGTTTCTTTTGAACCAAGCGCTGGTACGTATTTTTGAAAAGGAGTAGTTGAAGTGTTT